CACCAGCAGAGTCTGCCGCCTGCCAAGCCCCTGTGAGGCTCACGCCCTCTCTCCCCATCCGCCGCCATCCAGCTCCCACACCAGGCCCAGGGAAAGCCCACCTCCTCCACGCAGCCTCAGCCCGGCGCTGCCAGTGCCTCCCGCCGGGCACGGGGTGTCCTGCCTGCTTCACGGTGACTTTTCTACCCGCCCCCCTCATGGTGCCCAGGGCGGAGCAGCCTCTCTGAGAGCGGTCGGTCGGATCAGTCTTGATGCTTCTCGGATGTTACCCACAATCCACGAGTGTCCTCGGGTCTGCCAACAGCCGGAGCCACTAGTTTTGAAACTTTTGCTCGGTCGTCTCCCAACTTGAACAGTTAGTTAGAAACTGCTAATGGGGTTATTATGAAATGTGACATTTAAAAGTATCTGTGGCCCGGCCGGGTGGCTCAGTGGTTGAGCATCGACCTAGGAGCCAGGAGGTCAGGGTTCGATTCCCGGACAGGGCACAGGCCCGGGTTGCAGTTCCACCCGCAGTGGGGGGCATGCACAAGGCAGCTGATCCATGATTCTCTCTCATCACTGATGTTTCTCTCTCGCTCTCTCCCTTCCTCTCTGAAACCAATAAAAAAATTTTAATTCTCTGTTCCCGTAAAATGAAATCAGCACCAGCTTCCGGAGAAGGTGGAATCGAACCTGAAGGGCAGCTGAGGCCGCCAGCCCTTCGTTCCCATGGGCACTTTCACGGCCTCCCTGGGCCTCCGTGTGCCCGTCTACGACGGAGGGAGAGCGCTGCAGGGGCTGGTGTGAGGGACAGGGGGGTAAACAGCGGGTGGGGCTCCGTTACCCCGGATGCGGGTCAGTCTTTTTGGCTCTTACGTCTGGTGTCGGTTTAGCGCCCATTCTTTAATCCTCCCCCAAGGATATTGTTCCATTGATTTTTTTTAGAGAGAGTGGAAGTGAGAGGGAGAGACAGAGAGACACATCGATTGGTTGCCTCCCACATGCTCCGGACCAGAGCTGGGAGCCTGCAACCCAGGTACGTGCCCTTGACCGGAACCGAACCTGGACGCTTCAGTCTGCAGGCTGACGCTCTACCCACTGAGCCAACTGGCTAGCGCTACAGCCCCGTTCCTGAAGCTGCGCACCGACCCTCGGCCAGCCCGCCAGGCCTGCGCTGTGCCGCCGGGCAGTGCGGGGAGGAGAGGCCGTGAGGGGTGTGGGGAGCCGGGGAGGCTACAGCCGGAGACGCTTTGCAGCTATTGATTTTGGACGCCCGTTTGCAGAGCTCCTTTGAGGGCTCGGCCAGGAAGCCGGTCCGCAGCGCGGCGCCTGGAAAAACGAAGCAGAACCCTCGTGAATTCCTTCTGTGGCTCTGTGGCCGGCCGCCCTGCCAGCGCCTGCTCCAGGGACCACGGCCGCTTCTTCCTCGCCTCCGTCCTCCAGCCTCGGTGGCCTCAGCGGGCGGCCCACCCCTGCCCGTGTTAGAAGCAGCGACGGCATGAGGGACGGGAGGCACTGGGGCCAGTGGCACAGATCATAACTGAGGCTTCGTTCCTTTCTCCTTAACTGCACTTCTCCTCTCTGCATAAAAATGTTTCCTTTTTGTGTGTTTTTATTCATTTCAGAGAGAGGAAGGGAGAGGGAGAGAGACAGAAGCATCCATGATGGGAGAATCATTGATCGGCTGCCTCCTGCACGCCCCACCCTGGGGATCAAGCCCACAACCCAGGCCTGTGCCCTGATGGGGAATCGAACCCTGACCTCCTGGTTCATAGGTCAACCCTCAACCACTGAGTCACACTGGCCGGACTAATGTGCCATCTTTAAAGAGGCACCTCTCTCTAGGGTGACTCTCTAATAGTAGGTACACACTTAACCGCTGATGACTCACTTGATTTCCACTCCTTTCCAGGTTTAACTGACACTGACCTGATAATCGTTTAAAGTGTGCAGACATTGCTGTAACCGGTGTGGCTCAGTGGATAGAGCGTCGGCCTGTGGGCTGAAAGGTCCCAGGTTCAATTCTGGTCAAGGGCATGTACCTTGGTTGCGGGCACATCCCCAGTGGGAGATGTGCAGGAGGCGGCTGATCAATGTTTCTCTCTCATCGATGTTTCTAACTCTCTATCTCTCTCTCCTTTCCTCTCTGTAATAAATCAATAAAATATATTTTTTTAAAAATAAAGTGTGCAGACATTTTGTGGGGACGCCCTGTATATTTTTAAAGTTTGCTAACCAGGCCGAGCCTTGACCCTTGACCCTGAAACTACTAGTTCCTTGATCTTGAGCAACGAACCCTCCCTGCCTCGGTCCCCAGCGGGAAAGTGGGCCGCAGTGTCGCTGGGAAGTTGGCCTCACGGACGCTGGAGGCGATCGCCATCGCGCCGTCAGTGAGCGGAGGGAAAGGCCGCGCCGGCGCCCGTGTCCTCGTCCCCCTCAGCAGGCGGGCGCCCTGCGGACCTGCCCTCGGGTCTCCCGGCCTGTGCGCAAGGACGGCTTTTACATTCACAAATGGCTGCCCTAAAAGAAGAGAAAATGTCGCGACACATTATATGAAGAAGCAAACGTTCAGCCCCTAGACAGACATGACAGGACGTGTGTGCACGTGGAGACGCTCATACCCGGAGCGGGAGGGGAGGCTGCTGGTGGGGATGCTGGGAAAGACCGGAACCGACGGCTCTGGAATCTCCGACACCAGGAGTCTCGGCCGCAGGGGTCTGACCTCGTGATGCTCCTGAGCTCATGCGCTCGGCCTGAGCCGGGGAGGCCAGCCGCTCCGGGATAAGGCCGCCCTGAATTCCCCGAATTCCCGTGGGGTGAGCCAAGCGTGGAAGCCACGCAGAGCGGACCTTCCAGCGATGTGGGCAGCGGGGCGCCCCGTGTCAGGGGCAACACGGGCGGAGCAACCGGGGCACCAGAACCCATGCACCCGGGGCCCTGGGCTCAGGCTCCTCGGAGAGCACAGCACCTCCAGCCCCTTCAGCCAGGCACGGGCTCCGCCCTCCACCTGCTGCTGGGCCAGCGGGGGGACTTATATTCAAGGGAACTTGTTTTGTCGTACAAAATGCTACACCTCCCCGGCCGGCTGGCTCAGTGGCTGAGCGTCGACCTAGGAACCAGGAGGTCAGGGTTCAATTCCCGGTTGGGGCACAGGCCTGGGATGCGGGCTCGACCCCCAGTGGGGGGCGTGCAGGAGGCAGCCGGTCCATGATTCCCTCTCATTGTGGATGTTTCTCTCTCTCCCTCTCCCTTCCTCTCTGAAATGAATAAAATGTTTTTTAAAGGTAGCTGAGCATATATTCATGTGGATCCACTTTCTAATGAGAGGCGACTTTTTAAAAATATATCTTTTTATAGATTTCAGAGAGGAAGGGAGAGAGAGATAGAAACATCAATGATGAGAGAGAATCATGGATCAGCTACCTCCTGCATGCGCCCCACTGGGGATCAAGCCCACAACCCGGGTATGTGCCTTGACAAGGAATCGAACCCTGACCTCCTGGTTCATAGGTCGACGCTCAATCACTGAGCCGCGCCGGCCGGGCCAGAGGTGACTTTTTCACAGTGAATTTTAAGTCTGTCGTTTTGAAGGTCGTTGTGCAGCGATGGGGCGGAGTGGGGAGGCGGGGGACTTCTGCAGAAACTGGCAGCAGAAATCACGGTGTAACAGCTACGCTGAGGTGTGCGCCCACTCGGCGCTCGCTCGGAGGCGTCAGGAGGGCGGCGGCCTCTGCTGCTGTTTGTTCTGGCAGGAGGAGCGCAAGCGGAGGAACAGGCAGGCGGTGGGCCTCTGAGCGGCAGCTCTGGTTTGCAGCAGAGGAGAGAGCCAGGCCGAGCCTCGGGGTGTGGCTTTCCCAGCTCAGACGCCGTCTCAGGGCGATGCTCCCTTGCCCTTCAGGAGGGCAGAGCCGCGGAGCCCGTCCTGAACCAGGATGCAAGGCGAGGACACCAAGCGAATGCCTGGCCGGCGCTCCCGGCAGCTGCTCGACTGCCCCCGGAAGCCAAGACAAACACCCAGGGGCCGTCACAGGCAACTCCACAGCCCTGGGCCCCCACCCCGGCGGGCCTCCTGAAGGCTGCGAGCTGGGCCTCCACCTGCCACTGCCTGCACCCCCTCCCCCGCCCCCCACACAGGTCCCTCCCCGAGCGGCTCCAGGAGGCCACGG